AAGGAAAAGGGGGGGGGGGGGGGAATGTTGTATTGTGTAACGTCATTTAATTTGATGTTCCTACCTTCATTAGATTCTAAATATATATATATATAGATTTTAAAATGTGTTATAATGTTAGAAGAGCGTTCCACCAAAACCGATTAGATCTGACACTGGCAGGCCCCTTACATGTGTGATTCCATAATTTACTTGTAATAATATCCTGTACTTTTTTAAAAATTATGCACGTTTAGGGTTAAAACAACCAATCTTCTTCGGACAGGTGGACACACGCCCTTATTTGTTCATTTTTGTTGTTGTTTCATGGGCTGTTCTAATTTTGATTTCATTCTGTTGTGAAACCTTTCTTTTTCACATTTTTACACTGATCTAAAAATCTCTAAATCTAGACTAGCTCTTGAAAATTGAAATAGATCTAGACCCAAAAATTTGCTCTTTCCCAGACCTCGCAGAATGGCAGAAAATGAAAGTTGGCGCCGAACTCTCGCAAATAGGCAAAAAATCACGAGACCGGAAGCCGGAAACCGCTCGTAGTTGTTATTCTCAACAGGGGTGAGGATAGCCTATGGCCCTATGTCTCGCTATTCTCACCCCCTTCAGGTGTGCTAACAACAATAAATACAGTAGGCTTATATATAGTCTATAGAGCACAGACACACACAGAGAAGAGCACAGGGAATAACTTAAGTTTCAAGTTTACTTTATTTAAGACTACCTGAGAATAACCCCAATGTATCGCTATTCTCCCCCCCCCCCCTCCCCCCCGCCCCCAGGGTCATGCCCGCTAACCTCAACCCTGATCCTTCTAGGGTCATTTCCGGTAAAACGAGGGGGTGAGAATAGCGAGACATGGGTTGTCCTTTATTTGGTCACTTTTAAGAACAAGCGGGCTAAACCAGATTTTGGGGGTTACCAGAAAGAAAGTGGCTATTCTCACCCGCCGGAAGTTCTCGCAAGATCAACTCCTCCCCTCTTCTCTCTCTCTCTCTGTCTCTTTCTGAATACTGTCTATCGGTGTGGACGATCAAATTGACCAAAACAAAGTTAAAAAATGATGTTAAAACACAAAAGTAAATTAATTTGGTTGTCTACAAAGATGCTACGGCTATTTAACTTTTTGAATCGAGCCGAACTACGCGGGTCGCCATTTTGCTTTGCCCGGAAATTCTCGCGCTACTCCTCTCTCTCTTTCTCTCTCTCTCTCTCCACTGCCCACAGACAGACAAAATTGTACGCTTTTTTTAGTAGGCTACAGTTGTAATGGAACGTTTGTTCACGGCACAGAATTCTACAATTTTTCTGTTATCACAGTACAGTGTAGAATTCTGTGGTTTAGGGTGAACGCAAAATTTGGTGAACGCGCACCGGGTGAGAATAGCCAAAAGACTCGCCTGCACTATTCTCACTCCGGGTGAGAATAGAGGTGGCCTACCAGAAATCTTGACCAACACTAAAAGTGGGCATTGCCCTTCCTATATGAGAAGTTTGGAGTCATTGGTAGTTTGGTTACAGAGGAAAGAAGAGGCTAGCCGTACTTAAAATGACGGCTAAACTGCTAGATCTAGATCTAGATCTAGATCTAGCTGTGATCTTGTAGTTCCGTTCATTAAAGTCCATGATCCATTTTTCTACATCCACAGAAGAAATCCAGAACCAGATCTAGATCTAGATCTAGATATCTAAGTCTTGATGATCACAAGGTCCAAATTGGCAATTTATAGGCAACACAAAGAACAGGGATGCAACCTCTAGAGGGGCCTAACTCAACTAACTGCAATACATCAAATATTATAAATCCAGGGCCCCCAGGGCCCCCCCCCCCCTTCCATATTTTATTAGGTCCCCTCTGAACCCCCCCCCCCCCCTACTCTTGTCTTTAACGAACGAAACTACAAAATCACCGATCTAGAAATCTAGCCTCAATTATTACATAATTTTTAAACAAAAAAACCCCCAGGAGGGCAGGGCTACGACGCTACAGTAGTTGTTCACACACAATACTCACATAATGATGAGACGTTTGCATCAGGTTATAAACACAGACCATAAGTCCATATAAACATTTGAATTTGTGAGACAGTACCCTTTATTATTCAACTCTCTCACTTCACAACAACACCCATCACAAAACTCGACAAATTGACGCCCTACTAATATGAAAGAAAACGATGTGTGTACTGGTAGGTCAGGGTAGGACCCAGTGGAGTGATGCGCTTGTTTATAGATCTACCTTCACACAAATGAGCTCCATAACAAACCTTCCACCGCCTCCCACTCAACTTCCTGGTGGCGCTCAGTCTTCGTATTTTTCAAAAATAAAATTGAATTGTATAATCTTGTATTGTGAACACATATTATTATTGTGCAAACTTCTTAGGTGGGATAGTCTTATTGCTTTGGAATCCGGGAAAATGGTAGGCTGTAAATCAGTGCTTGTCGAAACAGTGTGAAAATGTGATCAAGGAGATTAAAAGTAAGCTTGATTATGATGCAAATATTATTATATAGGCTACATTAAATTATAAGGAACGAATGTGGTTACGTTTGTTTGCTTTTGTAAAGTGTTTTACGGCGCTCGCAACTGCATAAGGTCATATGAGCGCGCGGGACACACCTAATATTTTCAGTTGGTAGGAAATTTTGAATTTTGCCCGGGTGGCGGCCGAAGCCTACTCTTATCGATTTTAGACCACTAAGGGATCTTTAACGTGCGCAACTTGCACACGGGCCCTCCGAGAATTTTCGCCCTTGTCCGAGAAGGCTAGGTGTAGATCTTTCCTACCAGAAGATCAGGGGTGTGGCAGAAAGACAGCAGTAAGGAGGAGCCAAGGAGTAACAGTAGAAATGCTGCAGAAAGAGTCAGGAGCCCAGAGGAGGGGGCAAAGGAGGTGAGGGGGTGGGGGCAGAAAGTGGAAATGAAAGCAGACAACAGAACATTGCTAGAGAGCAGGAAAGAAGGTGAAAGGAGACAATTTTAGAGAAGAACATTTTTCGGTCGCTACCCGGATTCGAACCCGGGACCTTTTAAATGAGAGGCCAACACCTTAACCTCTAGGCCACGAGAGCCCCCTCGGTAAAGGTATAGCCTATCTCATGGTTTTAACAATGATAATTGGTAGGCCTAACTAGTGTCTCCCCCCCCCCCCCCCCTTTCTCTCTCTGTTTCTCTATCTATCTGTCTGCCTATCTGTCTGCCTATCTGTCTATCTGTCTGTCTATCTGTCTGTCTATCTGTCTGTCTGTCTGTCTATCTGTCTGTCTATCTGTCTGTCG